TTTATGCCAGTATGGACTCAATATTTATTTTATTCTATGGGTTAAAATGCAATACTAGCATTATTTATTTTGCTGCTCAAATATGTCAGCCATATTTTTAATTGGGAAAATACTCTCCTGTGAGGACAGAGGCCCCTACTAAACTCAGAAAAAACTCTGCTAAATGGAAGATTTGAAATTCTGATTATATATCTCTCCACATTGAAATGTGCAAATATTTGGGTTGAAATATTCTCACAGGTACTGTCTTTTTGCCTCCATTTGGATTCTTTTTGTTTTTGAAAAATAAAGCTCACCAAATAAGTTGTTTTTATTGATGATTTTTAAAATATTTTTCCAAATATGGCTATTGCAAAACCTGGTACAGCCTATTACTTTATACTATTAAATAGGGGCTCCATCAAAAGCTTCCTTCCATAAGTCAGGTTTTCTAAAATGTAACTACAAATTTCAAAATTAACTATTTTACACAATATGAACTCTCATTGCTTAACTTTTTTAAAGTTAATTCCTTGTTTTTATAGGGATAAATTTCGGTGTCTTCCCATTTGCAATTTTGTTTTCAATAATTGCAATTGTGAATATTAAAAAGCTGAAATTACTTTTTGCCTTTGTGTGTTGGATACCTTACCTTAACTAAGACTTCCAACTGATTTTGAATAAAATGCAATTTCTAAAAGATGATTAGTGACCAGCAGCAAAGAAAGTGTGTACCATCATGCATAAGATTATTTTTTAAATTAATACCTATTTATCCTCCAAATATTGTAGGTAGTTCGCTCTAAATGCGTATATATAAAACTACATATTTCCCCATGTATAAGACGCACCATTTTTCAGAAAATTTGGGGTCTAAAAACTGGGTGCGTTCTATACAGGGGTAGTGGATTTTTTTTTACTTGCATTTCCCGCTTTTTTCGCGCTTGTTTTTGTGCTCATACAACCACTGTATAAGACGCACCCAACTTTTAGACCCCAAATTTTTCAAAAAAGGGTGCGTCTTATACATGGGGAAATATGGTATGTGTGGGTTTTGACTACAGTTACCGTTTCAGTTAATAGCACATCTGTATTCCATATGCACCACCATCAACCCCAAGTACATTTCTGCTCCATAGATTTCTTTCTTTAGTAAAAGCATTATTTTACTGTGATGCTGACCAAAAATATATATTTGTATTATTGTTTTCATTCACAAGTTTAATTTTTAACGTTATGGTAGCATTTACAACAAGGTCAGAAAATTAAACTTTGACACAATAAACTTCCAAAAGCTTTTTTTTTTGATTCTGTGAATTGGATTAAACACTTTTAACTTGTTATTGGAATTCATTGATTTTTCTATTTAATTCATCTGTCTACACTGTTATAAAACTGTCATGATTTAACTGTTTGCAAACTCTTCTGCTTCTGGTGTCAACTCATTAATAGCCATTGCTTTATATTTATCACAGGCCCAAGGGAACTTCAGAATTAAAACGAAAATAATTAATTGAGGATAACTGCCCTTTGACCTCAATGAAGTCGTGCTGCATGGAGGGATATGTGAACACACTTTCTGCAGCGGCATGCTTTAAATCACGTGCTTATGGGCTTGAAGATCAGATTTCAACACATAGGATCCAGGTTGGGAAGAAGATTCTACATGGAAGTGAGAGCATGGACAAAAGCAAGGGCAGCAAATGCCAAGTATGCTTTTAAAAAAACGGGCACAGTCTTTACAATAACTACCTTTTGGTGTAGATGTTGCTGGTTCGTCAGCATATTTCTGTCCCCTGATTGTCTCATGGGCAGTGACAGCATTAAGGACCTTGTCTGGATGGTATTTTGTGTGTTTTACACTCATCATCAACTTTCTTGAGAAACAGAAAATCAATACTTAACTTTTATTAAACATGTGTATATCAAACTCCTGATGCTGAATAGGTCGATTGCAAAATAAAATACTCGTAACCAGACAATAAAAAAGTTATAAATTTATATCATAAGTAACCAACCTACTATAGTGGCAGAGCACCTGTAGCAAGATGGCTCAGCCTCTACTTCCCACGTATATTTCACTTACATCTAACCTTTAATTCCCTACAAGTTCCACGAAACCCACTGACTGTCATCCCGGTGGCTTCATGCCTCTCACAGGTCATGGCATGGCCCACCCAGTATGGGTCATGACACAACTTGCTGCTATATCCAGTAGATGGCAGGATCTATAGCATCAAATACATCTCCCACCCCCACCAGAACAGGAAGCAGTTAGGTGCTGCTAGCTGCTCATCTCCAAATGTCATCATTTTATCAGCCAGCGCCCTGCGTGCTACACTTCAAAGGAAGACGTAAATTTCCCTCAGACTAGTAAAGGTTGAGAAAGAAGCAATAGGCTGTCTTTCAGAGTTTACCATGTGTTACAGTGAGAAAATTGTCAAATGCACCTGCCTCTTACACTGTACTGGGAGACATCATGTCAGAAAATGAAGTACAATGGTAGAAGTCTTTCCAAATCTCTTGTAATGCAATTATTAATAATGATCCTCCTTTAAAAAGGAGAAAATTCAGGTCAAATACTAAACTGGACTGAATGCTTGAACAACAGGCTAAAACCAGGATGTTCTAGGCAAATCAGGATACATGCCTTCTTAAACTTGTCTTTGACTGCAGCACATGCAGCCAACCCCTGAATCTTGTTTATGTTTCCTTCTGCATTTCTCTTGAACCTGGCCCCTATTTTCTATTCCCACTGTACCCAGTTTAGCTTAGATGCTTGTTACCACACACCTATATTATTTATAACTACCTATTTGTTTAGAACTCATTTTCTCCTTCTATCCGCTCCCTTCATACCTACTATAGTTGTCTTTCTCCAGAAACTTTTGTGTCTCATCACGCCCTTGCTAAAAAATCTTTTCATGGCTCCTCATTACCTGATGAGTGAATTCTAAACTTTGTATGGTCTGTCCGTATTCTATACTTACAGGTTCATTGCTCACTCCTCCCTTACACGTATCCTTCACTCCAGGTTGACTTGATCCCTTATCATTTCCTAAACACACTTGTCACTTGGCACTTTTGTCCATACTTTTGTTCATGCTGTACATCTGCTTAGTCTTCCCAACCTGGACCTCACTTGTTGAAAACTGACTTTTACCTTTAAGCCCAAGTAATATCTTCAAAAATCCTCATCTAGAAATGGTCTTTATTCTCTGAACATCCGCAGTAGTGTAGAAAATACTCTGATGGTGCATCATACAAATACCTTGAAGTCAAGGAGGTGTTTGATTGCAAGCTCCTTCAAAGGACAGAGATGAACTTTTATCTCTTGGTACCTGACAATGCCACACAGCACCTTAGTCTTTGAACTTGCTGCTGCTTAATAACAACTCATTGAGTAAATTAATAAATGAATTAATGAATCCAAACTAAAAATATAGCAAATAGAGTCCTTCCTCTAGAAAATATTTTTACAATTTATTGGAAATTATATAAATCAGCTCAGGCTGCCATAACAAAATAACAAACACTGGGTGGCCTAAACAACAGACATTGATTTCTCACAGTTCTGGAGGCTGGGTAGTCCAAGTTCAAGGTGCTAGCAGATTGAGTTCCTGATGAGGACCCCCTTTCTGGCTTGGAGAGGGCTGCCTTCGTGTTGTGTCACCACATAATGGAGAGGACAGACAGAGGGAGCTCTGATCTCTCTTCCTTTCATTATAAAGACACTAATCCCATCATGGGAAAACTCCCCTCATGACTTCATCTAATCCTAAAGTACCTCTCAGAGGTCCCACCTTCAAATACCATCACACTGGGAGTTAGGGCTTCAACATATGAGTTTTGGAGGAACTGTAAACATTGAGTACATACTAAGGATATTTAATCACAAGAAATGATTGAATTTAAACCTGTCTGTGGAAGAATCTTTTGGCATTTTGATCTGTAAAACACTACAAATAGCCAGGTTGATTTACCTTTTGTATAAGATCATCCTTGCTTATTAAACTTTGGGTCTTCTATAAGTACTAAACAAGACCAATTTCATGCCATGTTTATAACTCTGATTTCCATTAGCAAATAAAGACATAATGAATAAAGATATGAGTTGCGATTATGTATTTGTGTCTCTGTCTCAAAGAAAGGATTCACATCAAACTTATAACAGTACTAACTTATGGGGAAGACATTGGAGGGATGTATTATTGCCCTGTGTGTTTCTGAACTGTTTTTGATATTTTTGAAATTAGCATATGTTGCATATTATAGTGTGAAACCAAAAAGTGATGAAAAACATGTTAAAGCATTCTTGGCCTACATGGTACTATGTGTATAAGGTCTTAGATGTGGCAACTTCCTTCAAAGAGTTCACATACAGTATTCTCTTTGAAACTCCCAAGTAGTGGAGAGAATAAAATTTTGGCTCAACACTTTCCCAATGATATCTCTATTTTTTTCAAAAATCTGACCAGAGTAATAAAACAATTTATGCCAGTTTGAGAGTAAAAACATATTTGGAAAGCAATTAATATAGACAAAAAAGCAAAAGCATGGGAAAAGTTGAACTTGTGTGCCTTACAAATAATATAAACTCTTCACACACAAAAATTTTTACAATCCAAACATCAGTGGGTGCATAGGCATAAGAGCTGAAAAACATTGTGACTAAAATCAGTAAAGCTATTGAAGTATTTAAATATTTAATTCTTTAAGGATCAAGTAAGTGTTAGCCATAAAACAAAATGAGACATCTGGAAGGCAAAGAGTTTGAAAGATTGAAAAATTAAAAAGCAAATGGTGTGCTTAGTGCTACTGAGAGACTTCAGCAAATAGATATAAACCCATTTGAAAATAAATACAGAGTTTGTGTAATTACAATGAGCCTGGAGATGGGTTTAGCATTTATAGATCTCCTGGGAAGTTTGGTGAGTCAGAAACATAAAACCAAAGCAAAGGGAGGTTATTAAAATATTATTTCCTGTTGTATTGTAGAACTGAGAAGAGAGTAAACATACCGATTACTTGCATGGCTGGTTCCACGTCTGTTGTGGCCTCTTCCAACAACGACAGCAGCTTGGCTGATATCTGATGCACGGATTCAATATTGCTAAACAAGCTATCCACATCCAGCCGGTCAATCTGAAGAAACACAAACACTGAGCACCCGCTGATGGACAGAGACGCACTGTACTTAGGACGTTTTCTCCTGGTAAACACTAAGTGTTTTATATGCCAGCCCATGCTGTTTCCATCAACCATTTCTGTAAACATTCTTTGAAATTTCAAGAGGAAATGTGCAGTTTTTCATGTAAGAAATTGGGATGGTGCATCTGTTATCTCTGTCTTTTTCTTTATTTGACTACGTTTTAGTGAGCTGAATGTACATTGCATATCCCTATAACAACCAGAGTGTGAGGAGGATGTGGGCTAGCTAATGAGTATTTTTATAAATGGCTCTTTATGAGGGTATGTACCTGTGTCTATGAATTTAGAATACTTTATTGCTTATACGGCAAAAGCCTGACCTGACTCTAGGCAAGTAACTATTTTCGAAGCCGTTTAAAGCCACAGATGTTCTCAAAGTGATGACAAGTAGATGTGCTGAGTTGCTTCCCAATTTTTTTAAAAAAAGAAATGTGAATAGAAATTGTCACCAAACATACTCTATTAATTAAAGAGTCATTGTATTTTGTAACTTCATGCACACCCTCAAAAACCAGTGTGTAATCATTCCTGGATCTTATAGCTAGTACTTACAACAATTTATTTATTCATCCATCCAATTTTAATTAAATATTTCTGGAGGACTTTCTATGTACCAAGAATTGTAATAGAAGCCGAAGTCTGTCAGAGGCTCTGGATGATTAGTAGAAGGATAGCCAACACTCCTAAACAAGCTAAGAAGAGTGTGATGAGATATGTGCCCTGATTTTGCTGGATCTTACTAAAAATCTTTCTTTTGAGTTTAAGTCAGCTCTTTCATAATCAAATAGTGTCTACATGGGTCATGAACAGGCTGGTACAGGCTGCACTAGGCGACCACAGGGGCTAAGAGTAGATGCCTTTTACCCATGGCTTATTGTGCATGAGGTCATAAGTGAAAAACCAGGTCATCAGTAATCAAGACATGAGGAGCTTCAATGGTGAAAAGCAGAGTTGCTGGTAAAAAATAAAACCAGGTCAGCAAAATTAGGGGTGAGAGAGAACAGAGGGTTGAGCTAAGGATCAGAAAAAAGAGGCTGAGAAATTAAGGGAAATTGGAATATAGGATAAGAGACAGACCAGGAGGAAGTCTAAAAATGCAAGCCAACCATTGTGGCTTCTTTCTCATGCTCTCAGTATCAGTTTCTTCAGGTGTGCTCAGTCTATTTGACGGGGAGAAAGGAGGCAGGCCAGTCATCTTTTTATTCTATGCTTTTTGAACATTGACCCATCCATTGTACTCCATGTATGGATATTGTTTTGATAAGAATATTCCGTTATTAAACATGGAAGCATTACTTCACATTGCACCTTGCTTAAAATTTGGTGACTGTATCAGTTACTTTTTATGCAATGTAGTCTGGCTGTATACATTTCTTTCAGCCATTTTGAGAAAGCTCTCATCTTTCTATCATTAGTCTTATCCTCAAAAAAACTTCCAGCCTCAGTTGTAATCAAATTCCATTTGGTTTTATGCAATGGATTTATTTCAATATAGAACTATACAACTTGTTTTCTATTTTTATGTGTTCGGAAATTATCTGTATTGCCATAGAACATTATTGCATTGCAATCATTATTAGCACTTAGAACCTTTAACCCAGTATCTCACAAACTGTCCCTTCATTAAGCACCCACTTTAATAGGATAGGGCACATGTGGCTCTTCTATTTGAAATCTATGTATATTTAAAACTTTCCTTTTTACACTAGAAGATACATTTAATGTTATACAAAATATCTAAAAATAGAAGATAATGGCCATGTGGCTCTTTTTGTTAATAATAATTTTAAGGTTCACATATCACATGTCTCTGAGTACCACTGATTTAACGCATTATTTATTCTAAAGAATTGCTTTATGCATTGGGTATTAACTAAATCACAAAGGCGTACCTTTGCACACTGCAAAAATGTTTCCCAAAAGCTGTGTATGAATCCAAATTTTGTACGAGCTGCATATTTCTTAAAATCACATTTTAAAATAAATCCTACTAACATGTAAATTTTCACCCCTAATTTACTTGCTTTTTAAGATAAAAGGTCAGATGTAATTCATACAGTGTGCCCTATTGTTATTTCACTTTGTGTGGAAACTTTGTCTTGAAGAACTTAAAGTGCTTCATATATATTATTTCATATAGTATTCCAACTTCTCTGTAAAATATGAGGCACTTCGAGGATAGGAAAGCTCATGCAGAGTGAAGAAAGGTGCCATGTTTAAAATTACGAAGTCCAGGAAAGGGCTGGAACTGGAAATTGACCTTTTAGTGCTCTGCCTTCGTTCATTACCAGCAAATACTACTAATAGAATACGTTGGTTAAGAACTGGCTTGGGACGCCAGAGGGCCCCGGTTCGGATCCCACATATGAGGGCCAGTGACACTGCCCTCTACAGCTAAGATGCTGAACAACAGCTCAACCTGGAGCTGGGCTGCCGTGAGTCGCTGGCGATGGCGTAGGCTGCAGCCCCTGTGGCAGTGAGTTGCCATGGGCTACCGTGTGTAGCCAGCAGCCAGCGTGAGCGGCTGTCCAGAAGCCGGCAACTGATCTGCCTTGCCCAGGAAGAGCGCAATGATGGTGCCAACTTGGGCCAGTGAAGCAACGTCCTCCACAACTAGACTGAAGAACAAAAAAAACGACAGCAACTTGTCTGTTCCCCTTCCCGCAATTCCCCAGCACTGTTCCTATCCCCCCAGTTCCCCAATAAAAGTCTTTAAAAAAAAAAAGAATACTTTACCATATCTGTTTGGATTTTTTGGGGTTGTTCCTGAGTTTTTCACTAGGTTGTCACTTCTATGTGACAGGTCAAAATCCTGTATATTTTTCTAATTAGACAAATTTAGGTTTTAAATTCATTTAGCAAGTATCTAATTCTATATTTATAATCTTAGCTCAATGCAATAAATGTTAACTAACAAAAGCCTAGGTTTTAATTTCATTTATTTCTGAAAGACAGGAAAGGTTAAAACTCAGTTGGCCTGGTTTCAGCTGTCTCTATCACCACAGGCCCATGGGGATTCTGTGAATCATAAAATGAGTTCACATTCAATCATTGCTCTGCCAAAGAATAAACAAACGTCTGGTGCAAATATGTTTTTAAAACTGGTAGATAATTTTATAATTATTGATATAAATTCTAAGAACCATGTACATGTATTTATTAGACTTTTACTAGGAAGAGGCAATGCTCTAAGAGCTTAAACTGAGTTATGTTTCAAATGGATTAAAATTTACTTTTTGAAAGAAGATTTAGTCTAAGTATACATTATTCTAGCAAAGTCAATATATAATAATTTAAATGTACAAAACAGACAATTAAATGTCAGTATTTCTGGTGACAATTTGCATGTGTGCAAAACTCTCCAGGTCAAAATGTCTGAATAAAGGAAAACGTCTATAAAACTTTATCAATTCAAAGACTGTAATCATTGGTATAGAATTCCTTTATGCCCAAGAAGCATTACACTCACTGTCTTCAAAGCATTCATATACTAGCCCAATCTCTTCCCTTTGCTCACACATGCTTTTCCTTCATACTATCTTCTAATGTTCTACCCGTCTGAAATGGAATATGGTAATAATAGTGTTTGTCCATTAGCTTTAGCCATGTCTCTGCCCTGTCTGTTGCGTTTCTGGGGAAAGCCCCAGCTCTCTATCTCTGTCTCATCCGGTGGAACTGTCATTCATGGTGCCTTGCCCCCTTCCCCACTCCCTACAGTGGTAGGCATGGGATACAGCTGGCCACAGAGTTTGGCCTAGATTGGGCAGGTTCCCAAGCAGAGGCAATGAGAGTCTTCATTGATTTTTAATAAATGGCTGTTGGGAAGTAGTAGGGCCTGGATTGTAAGCCACAAGTAAGTTTCTGTCTTCAGCAGTCATCTTTGTGGAGAGCTTGACCATGATGAAAATCAACAGGAAAAGAAGCTAAACCTGATGACATCATGTTTACTCTTGAATCTACCTCACCTAAAGGAATACATTCTTATTACAGAAGTTGATAAAATGTCTTTATTAAGCTAGTTTGAATTTTATTTGTTACCTATAACCAATAGAGGACTAGTACACTTTTGTTTATTTTTAGCTCAAATCTTATTCCCTCTGAGAAAGCTTTCCTGATCCCTTAGTTAGAATCAACCTATCCCTCTCCTGAGTTTCCATGATCCTTACTTTGCATTACTCAATTACTCAATGCTTATATTGAAGCCCTTATATATAACAGGGATATTTATTAATTTACCTGTCTCTGTGTAAAAACTGTGAGTTCCTCCAACACATATGTCTTTGTGAGTAATTTGAGTACCCCACTGTGTCTAATACAGTGCTGGACTCACACCTAGTTACTCAATAAAAGTTTGACATTTTGAATTGAATTAAATCACTGCAATTTAAATGATCTATTTCTTTGTAGGAGCCATCCATAAAATGTTCCTTGTAATCACTCTACTGGGCTCTGAAGAACAAGTATGCAAATATCAAAAGTGGTTTAAAGAAAACAATCAAAATCACCTAATTTTGTTATTCAAAATAGCACATAAAGTGGATATTTTATAGTTTTCTACTTAATTTTACCTACAAAGACAAAGTGTTGTGCTCAGTTTGGTCATTAATATGCCTAGAAAATTTACTGACAGAGGCCATACTTCCCTCTTAGTTTATACTTGGAAAATCCCTGTTTATTGTTTTCTGTTTACTGAGCGCTGGGACACTCAGCACAACCCAGTCACAGACAGTAATAACCGAACATTCTTAGGTGTGTCATGCAGATTTCCAACCATGAACACCTTTAAAAGTGAACATTGAAAAAAAGTCTAGGAACAAACTCTCTGTTTTAAAATAAACTATTATCATAAAAGTAGTTTGTTTATTGTAGAAAATTAAACATGGGTAGATAAGTGAAAGAAAGAAAATAAAATTGCTTATAATTCTACCACAGAG